CAAAAACATCAGATTTTCTCAAAGTGCTGAATCGTGCCCGGCCTGATGCAGAAAAGAAAGAAATGAAAACAATCACGTGAGTTTTAAAGGGGCGGTTTCTTTCTTCTGATTTATTTATGGAGTAAACTTGCATAGCTGCTCATCTGAAATATGTTAGTCTGAATGGCGTCCAAAGTGAAAAACATAAAATAGTGCACAGTAAAAAGAAATCATTCAAAACTAAAAACAATAAAAAGCAGTAAAACAATTTTAAATTATTGCAAAATCTGCAGGATAGTGCACTCAATTTTCTTAGCATTACATGATCTATTCAATAGCTGATACAATGCAATCCTGAAGAACACAACGCATATAGTCATGTTTTAGTGTTTAAACTAGGATAATGCATATATAAATTGGATCTGCTTAAAAACAAGACAATGTGAACAACATAGACTTAACATTTTATTATTGCTCACATTTCATCTATGTTGGTGCATGTATGTATATATCCCCCAAACAGTTGCTTTATTTGTGGTTCAGCTAATGAAATAATTTGATTGAACTTCCTGCTAACCTAGTGCAGTAATATATGGATAGATGATCAAAATAAAATAATTCACTCATGTCATATAGGACTGAATTGAAACTGAACAAGTTCACAAACAAGTCAGTGTTTACCAAAATAGATCACACAGTTAATTTTCCAGAAGAAGAATAAATGCTACAAATTAAATCATTATTGGTTATCTAAAATGCAACTACTTTAGCAAGCTCTTTTTGAATTGTAGAACTCCACCTCCATTGCATTATCTTGCTGGGTTAGTAGCTGTAGCCTTGAATCCGAAATATTTGCACGCTAAAGTGTCAATGCATAATTTGTGTGTTTTTAGCTTTTCTAGTACCCCCTTTGTACGATATTTCCAGGCTTTTAAGTTCATGACACTTACTTCACATAAATCCCTAATATTGTTGCTGAGAGAGACTGAAATCTAAGTCTTATTCACTAAGTAAAAATTAAGTTCTCTTATTTGGGGGAATAACGCTTTATATTCCTGAATTCCCTTCATCTTTGAATTATAAATACGAACTCTTTTTGGTAAGATCAGCCCAACTAGATATTATTTACACTGCCACTATGGTTCTTTTGCTGCTCCCTTCAGTTGGAAATTTATGCTACATTAATCTTTTAACAAGCGAACCAGAGTACAAAAGAAGTGTGAGTGTTCATGAATACAGATAATTGTTCATTTCTTTGTTAAAATAAAAAGCTTTAAGGACCTGGGGTTACATCAGTTGCTATTTTTATTGAAATTAGAAAAAAACAACAAAAGATATTGGTAATTTGCAATAGTGGTGAATATTTGTANGTGTAAGAACTTTAATGTAAGGAATAAATTTAAATAACGAAAAGAAAAAATAGGACAAAAATATCATTTAAATCTAAATAAAATAAACATTGGGGAGAACAGTAAAATTGCTTTCTTTACATTACTGAGGAAATATAGCATATTTTATAAAACCCCATAATTTAGTTATCAGTATAGTCATGGCACGGGTAGTGCGCATGATTTTATGTGTCCCTCAATAAAGCTATTTGGGAAGGGTGTGAAGGAGTTTGGCTTTCTTATCAACTATACACGAGCTTTTGAATTTAGTTACTTCCGTGTTAAGAAAAGTGACCTCTTTTCTCACTTTGATTTAAACAAGCAAATTATTATGTTAACTAATAAATAACAACTAACAGTATAGTTTTTAATCTTTATTAAACTTGTATTCCATGTTTTCAGTGTGTTATTTTTCACGATCCCAACACTCTCATGCCTTTTGCTACCCTAGGAATTTAAGGAGGGCCGTCGTGCAAGTCACACAGCCCCTCAAGTGCTCTTCAGTCACAGGGAACCTCCCTTGGAACTGAAAGATACAGACGCAGCAGTTGGAGATAATATTGGATATATCACATTTGGTAAGTGAACTTGTTCCCAGCCAGGCTAGGATTGGATGGTAACTATATAAGAGCTGTTTTTCCCAAAACATTCTTTGTTTCTCAGAAATTACCAAACTATGTCCAAACAACATAGCTGCGCACGTTTCTTTTAAAGCATTGTGATACACAATTCTTAATATGCTTTGTATATAGCTGTACCTTGCAGGTCACTACTTAAGCAAATGCCCTCAGAAATTGCATCTATAGACTATCACTGAGCCACTCTTCTGTTGTTGACAAGATACTTGAAGAAAAGATTATTCTTTCTTGAGAGTTATACTTGTTGCCCCTACCAGGACAGTAAATGCCCAGGTTAGATTGGAGGCAGAAATTTCCAAAATACAGGTATGATCTTGGAGGCTGATGACTAATTATTCGTGAAAACTCGATTCTTTCCAATAGGGTTGCCACCTTTAATTTTTGCTGATTACTTCTTAAATTGGAAATTGGTTGTGGAGCCGAAAGTTGCATCACGTAGCTTTTGGAACCATTTTTAATATTGTTCGGATACAATCAGGCTATGCAGGTTCTACTCTTAAGAGTGAATGTTATGGAGCATCAGGCTGAAATAAATAGGCTGTTCCAGAATAATAGAATTTAGATTGATACGGGTGTATGGAAACCAGCAAATTATTTATATCCTCTCATCTTTCCCAAACTAAGAAAGAGATTCTTTAAAGCCAGGACATAACATCCTGCCTTTTAGATTGCTTTAATGCTGAAACTCCACAAATTGTGTATACCTGCCTATGTGGTGTTAATGAGCTAGAAACAGACAGCCATTCACTACTGCACTGTATATTTTATAGGACATCAGATTGATTTAATTTTACCCAGTTATGTAATCATGTTGGAAAATTGGTCAAATACCTTTTGAAGTTCCTTTTTGAGCAGTTGAAATCTTCATTACCTGCTCAGTAGCTAGGTTTTACATTGCCACAATGGGAATAAAGCAAAAGCTGGTACAGAGGTAATTTTATTGACCCCCCCCCCCCCCTTCAATCCCCGGTCTCATTTTTCTGTAGTTTTACAGATTATGTTGTGAAAACACTACCTTTTTATATTTTTGGATTTTGTATGGGTTTCAGTTTTATTGTTTTTGACTCTTTAGGATTATAACTTTAATGCTAACAATGTTGTATTCCTGAGATTTACTCTATTGATGTTGTAATATACTATTACGCTACTTATTCTGCTTTAAATGTTTTTAGGTCAGGGTTGTAGCTCTGTACTTTCTATGCATTTTGTTTTTTTGTTTTCTTTGAGCTGGTCATTGATTAAATAAAGATTACTTCATTTGGCTTTGGTAAATTTATAAACTAAGATTGATCAGCCAGCACTAGGACTTAGTATTTCTCCTAAGAAAGGCTAACTGTCTTCAAGAAAGTACCTATGAAACCATCTGTAAGGAATTTGTGTGTGAACCTTGAAGATTGCCTGAGCTATCATTCGATAATAAGTATTCCATTTCTTAAGTTAAATGAATTGTTGAGCAATTCCAAGCAATGTTTTCTGATGGGGGTTTTCAGGACCAAGTTTCTGATTTCTGATCTGGTTGTAATGATCGATCATATGTTGCTCATAGAAGGATTTATGGTTCTTTGATCCTGATTTTTAGCTGATCTGAATATTTTAAAGACCAGTAACTTTGGTAGAAAGTTCATAGGTTAAAATATGCTTGCTGCACTGTGTGCATCCCATCTTATTAATTCACTCAAATTAAGAAAATTTAGTATATTTTGAAATTTTAGTATATTTTGAAATTCTGCATATAAAAAGTAATATGTTGAGAGATTAGCCTTTGTGCTTGCTTCCCTAAAACCATAATACAATGTTGGGTACAGCCCATCATGAATTATAGCTGGTTTGCAAAGCAGCAAAAGTCACTTGTTGGAACTTGGGAGTCAGGCGGCATTTAATTCCAGTATAGGCTGGGTCGTATCTGTGACAGCCCAACAGCGGTATATCATCAGAGAATGCAGTA